ATATTTGTGTATGAATAAGACCATTATAAATTAGTTCCTCCGGCATATTTATTATTTAAGATCTCGGCGAGTTACGTTTCTTACGTACGGGTCGATCAATCTCTCCAGCGTCCAACGAAGACAGAATATTTGACCTAAAGTCTTTAGGTAAAACATGAGAACTATTTTTGGCCTGGAGTAAACGCTACCTTGACTATTATCCAAGCTCAGAAATATACTCGAAAAGGAAAAACATCAAAATTTTGAAAATACATAAACTTAATTTCACAGTCTTCTGATTACATCATTAGCTTTCCCCACTGACTATGTAAATATTTTGCAATTAGCTATGAGCAATTGGCGAATATTTCCTGCTTGGTCTACTTGGTATATACAAATTTTCGTGTACCACTTATATATGTACGTATATAGATATAAACACAAATTTGCGATTATAAGTTAGGCTGTTAGCAAAACTATTCTTGCTATATATAGCAACTCATTTATCTGTATAATCCACTCGGTACTATAATTAATGTTAATTCATTTATGATTATTCATCATTAACAGTTTATAAATTCAATTTTATTATTTTTTTTCCGAGCTAAGAATAGGCAAATATTTTTGAGTAACTCAGTGGGTGGGGAGGACCAGTATGTTTGCGTGTATTTATACAAAATATATATTTATTTGATCAAAAAGTAGTGGGTAGGCACTGCGGCCAATGGTAACCATCAGCTACCACCTCTGCATGGTTGTAAGCCACACAGAGTCCACAAAAAGCTTCGGAAAGATTGTCCAGATTATGTATCAGACTAGACAGAGCATACTTTGAAGTGTCATCAAATTAGAAATAGAAGCCCAAAAGGTTTTGAAATAGAATTTCCCTATGGCCGTCAATACTCCTGCGGATTTAGCAGCATGATTTTCCGGTAATAGGTCGATGGGCGGTAAACTGAGGATTATATCTGGAGCAGCCGTTGAGTAAACGTTCCCATGATGTATAGTGTCAAGAGGCGCTAAATTTTCTCCATTGGCCTGAGGTATGAAAACTTTTTTGCATCATTCCAACGCACTAAGCGCCGTTGACTCGTTACGTTTCATAATAGCGCACTCCAAACATTGTTGAAAGCTCCGAAAATATCCAGAAATACCCTTAAAGCATATTCATTGTAATCTAAAGCCTTGTCTGTGGACTCGCCCTTGGTGTATGCATGTTGCGTCTTGGCCAAAATGACTGGCGACTGATGGGGTTCTGATGTGAGTATCAGGAATTTTTTCCAGCGTTTTTAGATGAAAAATGATATCAGACTAACGGGCCTGCATTCTTTTGAGAAAACTGCATTACTTTTACCAGTTTAAGGTCTAAAAACAACTCTCGCTTCTCTCAACAGTATCGGTACGTATCCCAGCCTCAAATAATCCGAAAGTATCGGCTTCAACCAGGTGATTAGCCTTCTGAACAAAAGTTCAAAAGTATTGATTGCCGATTCAATTTTGGATGAAGTTATAACCATTCTATCTGAATTAATGAAAAAATATCTTAATATTAACTTAACTTAATCTTTAAGTTACTTAGATTATTTAATTTTAATTTACCGCTAAGTTCAAATTATTTGCTTGGCGGTACAAATGTTTGGCAACTCTAGTGAATCAGGTTCTGAGTTTGTATTAATCGTAGATAACTTCTCTGAGTTTAGATATATGTAAGGAGTAAAAACCACACTGTAGATTCTTCAGACTAACAGGCCTATTCTGCGATGGTAACAAAAATTTTGTTACCGGTTAGTAAAGTTACTGTCAATTTTTAAACCCTTTTCGTATTCTCCATACTCTTGTAACCGGTAAACTTTGTTACCATCTCATGAGCAGGTAACAAAATATTGCCCCGTGAAATATGCAAAACCAGAATTTCAACAAAACTCCATAGCTGAATTGCTGAATAAATTAAAGCGTTACCAAGGTAAATAGAATTGCGGTTGCAAGAAGTGGTGACAATTGTTGGTAACAAAATTAGCTTGTTACCAAATGTTCGGTTACAAGCAGAATAGGCCTGTTAGGCTCTAAAAATAATTATTTTTCCTTCAAGCTGCCAATAATAACAAGTATGCCGATTGAATCCCCCATATAATCATTTTCGCAAGATTGCATTACTTCATCAGACCACTCTCTGCCCTTATGAAATCACACACGATATTTTGTTACAAAGAATTTGTTATTCTCAATGTAAATTGACTTATTAGAGCATTTAGAAAATTTAAGTGATAACACTTTTACAAATAAAAGAACTTAGAAAAATAATAGTAATTAATTGAATTGACGTTGCTGTCGCTGGCAAAAATAAAGGAAAAAAAGGTGTGCGACTTTGATCCAGGAAAGCCAGTTATGAGCGATTTGTTGACAATGTGAATGTACATACATACATATGTATGTAATGGAGCTTATGATGGCGCACAGCAAGCGGCAGTGCAGATCAAAGTAAAGCAATACATACATATAATACGTTTCCATTCAACTCAATTTCAGCTATACAGCTCGACTGGGCTTCTGCTGCTTGGCAATTGAATTCAGTTATTTATTATTTATTGCTTGTTTGCGATTGAAAAACAGCTGATGATTTTGTTAGTGTTGTTTTAGAAGCGATGTAGCAGTTATGAGCGTACATTTGTGAGTGTATATATGTATATATTTGTGCATTTCAATGAATTGGGTTAAACAATTGATTGGATTTGCATAATAAATATAGAGGAATCAATTTCACTGAAATTGAAGTATGTTTTCATTGTTTAATTAATAACAATGAAAAAGAAAAAAATTGGTTGAATTGGAAAATTGCGCAAAATAAATTAAAAGAAACTAACACAATAAATTGCGGAAAAAAGTATGAAAATGTAATAAAACTTCAAAATCAAGCCATGTTTTGTTAAGTTTTACACGCTGCTAAATATATTAAACACTCATGCATTTCTATTTACATATTCACTTTTCGCCATCAATTTCGCACCCAATGCATGCCGCTTTTCTGCTTATTTATTCAATTGCCACCTCAACGTTTGCCTTAGCTGTAAGGTCATTAAAATTATTTAGTATAATTGAATAGTTTTAATAGCTTTAAATACTTTTATGTTCGTCTTTATTGCGTGTGGCTCTTTCTAAGAGCAAACACTTCATGCATTTACTCATTCATTACTGTAAACACTACCGCCGCCACACAGGTAAAATAGCAAACATACATACCTACATATGTGGAAGCGATGTATGTACATACTTATAAGTGTCTTATAGATATGTTTTATTATACGTACATATGTATGCCTTGTATGTAGGAATGTGTAATTACCTATACACAGTTAAACTACTTCAATCGACTGAGTAATTCAAGCTTCGTGGGTAGTTTTCTTTCCGGCCGTTGGAGTGCTTGCCTAGCAGAGTGTTATGATGCCACCTCGGAGTGTACTCGTATACTCGCGTACTGTAATTGCTTTCCTCCTTTGTAAAACTAACTGCTTCATTAATGATGCTGCAAAAATCAGTTACACAGCATTAATTTTAAATTGAATCATCTATTTGAAAGAGTGGTGGGAAAATGTAATTGAAATTGTGGCGCAAGCTATTTTCCAGTTACGTTCGAGTTATCCTGAGGGAAAGTTCACTTGATTATTATTCAGACAAAATTGAGTGTTGATTTTTTATGGTATGCATTTAGCTTTTACATTTGTAGAGTATTTGTTTTGAGGACACTTGAGTTGGAGGGTTTTCGAAAATATACGACGGCCTTTGAAAAGTCAATAACTTTTTGAGTTTTCCGTGTAGTAACTTTAAATGCAACACTGCTTCTGTCAATTACCTTCTGTTAATAGGCTACAAAAAAAATTTTGCGCAAGCCAATTACGCCAGTGTGAGCACTTTAAAGTAGTATTTGGCGCCGTTCAATCGCAATCCGCAAAATTTTTTGCGCCATGGACGAAACATGCAACCACTAAAATGCACCAGAAGCCAAAGAAACGTCAAAGCGGAGGGCTTCTGCGAGTGAACACGCACAAACAAAGGGCAGTGTGAGTCTGAAAGGGTCTAAAATTTACACAAACATGAAGGGAAGAAAATCTTAAAAAAAAACAAATAATCTACAAATTAAATTATCAAAAACGAAGTAGAAAGTACTTAAAAATTAAACAAAAATTAATAAAATTATTTTTGTTTTAAAAACAAAATCCTAAGAAAATTTAATCAAATTAAATAAAGCAAATATATTTTTCTTTTTAAATCAGTATAATATAAAAATTAAGGGAAAATAAAATTATCACAAAAAAAGTAAATTTATTTAAAAAAGAAGAAATAAGTAAAATATGTTATATGTATATGTAAAAATTAAATGCAATTAAACAATGTTTTTGTTTTCTAAACAATAAAATCTAAAATTAAAAAAAAAAATTAATAAAAAAGAAAAAATAATTATTAAAAAAGAAAATAAGTCCCTAATAATTAAACTAAATAAAGCAACATTGAAATACACAAATAAAAAAACAAATTTACGTACTTAAAAATTGAAATGAATAAAGTAAAATTCTAAAAATTAAATTTAGTTTTAAAAACCCTGTTTTTTTTCTTTTTTAAACCAAGAAATTTATAAGTAGGGGAAAAAAATATTATAG